CACACACACACACACACACACACACACTCATGCACAAAACATTTTCATTCACAGGTCATCTAATGCTCAAAAAGGGACCCCAAGTTAAGAATCATGGCTCAAAAACACTCATTTACAGGAAGCTGAAAAATTAAGATGTTTCTTAATTTTAGTGATTTAAGTGTGTTTGTATTTAAAATAAAGACCTTTTTATTTACATGTTTGTCCATTACCCTAGGGAAAGCTATTACCGTAGGGAGAACTTCCCATCACCAAAACAACAGAGGATGGTCTCTGCACAGTTCAGATTTGCTCAAACTTGGATTGTGGCTCTTGGGTTATTCATTTGATCCTGCTTTTGTCTATATTCTGTCTCTCTCCATGCGATCTGACTGACCTGTAGAGTCTCCTTCGAATTTGTGACTTGACTCCTTTCATTTCCACCAACCTGCCTCCTACTCAACAGTTTGAACTTACAAACCAAAATACTAGGGAAGGATCACCCACATTTTAAAGAGATTCTTTACAGAAAGGTTCATGAGTGTACTTTAAAACTTTAGCTTGTTTTTAGTGAATTTAAAGTATTATTTGCTTTATAAAAACTCAAATCGAGTCTATTTTCCAAATATAAAAAACACCAGAGGGTTCTTAATAGGTTCCCTCCTGCTTTTATTGTGTGTCCTTTCACGTGTTTAAAAAAAAAAAAATCCTCAAAGCACCCTGAAATGGCACACCAGATTTCAGGGTGCCACTCCCTGGTTGAGGAAACTTAGCTACTTAGCTACCAAGTTCATTCACAGGGAGGAGAAGACCAGCCCTGGACATAGCAGCCAAACGCCTGCTCTGAAGGCCTGCTGTGACCTGCGTTGCTAACGCTGCCTGTCCTTGTGCTGTTACTAGATGTTGATGAGTGCCTGGAGCAGAATGTGCGTTGTGGGCCGAATCGCATGTGTTTCAACACGAGAGGGAGCTACCAGTGCATCGACACGCCTTGTCCGCCCAACTACCAACGGGATCCCGTCTCAGGGTATGTCTTGCCTTCTCTTCCCAGACATGCTTTTGAAAACCCTTCTTGCTCTCTTCCTTGGCCCACAAACCCTGTCTGTAGTCATGTTGAACTTACAGGAACTCTCTAACCCCAGGGGACATGGGGTAACAGTGTGTTCCTTCTTCAATGAATGGGCAAGACGTGAACTCATCCCACAGCCCCCACTGCGGCCGACGCCATCACTGTGGGCCGCCCAGGCTTCCCGGAGCAGCCTCCCCAGCGTGTAATCCACCAGGCACCATCCAGAATTCGGCCTCAGCCATGAGCATGTCACGGGGGAAAGAGCCCGCCTTTCTTTGAGATGTACTAGTTTCCGTTTGTGTTGCCTCAGCGTCGTAAGGCCTCTTGGCACTTAGAGCCCTCCCAGAAGTACCTTGGCTGTCACTGTGATGAGTCACAGTGACTTCATGAGAGAATGGGGATGAGCAGGAATGAGTCAGTAGTCTGCCCGTTCATACGTTTCCTGCTGTCTGAAACACCGTTTTTTCTGGGTTCTGAATAAACCTCTCTACTATCTGTCCCTCCCCTTGCAGGAATATTGTACTCTGTTCAGGTACCAACTTACTGGGTGCTTCACAGATAATGGTCCTCCTGAGTAGGATCTGCTAATAGAAACATGGTTCTGAAACCAAATGCTGGTTGGAGCTTACACTTTGATTTTCCTCTCAGCCGTGACTACCAAGTTACTGTAACATGGTCAAGTGCGGACTGCCCGGGATCCACTAAAAGGCTCTTCATAACTGGCCTGAGAGGAATAAGGAGGAGAGGGAGAAAATTAAAAATAGATTTATGAAACTTCTAAAAATAATATGACTGAAGAATCCATATCTTCAGAAAATGGTCCTTTGTACACTTTTTAAAAAATGTTTTCTCTTTATTACCAGTGATTATTGGCAGACAATTTAATAGTCATGATGACTCAAACACAGCCAGTAGGGCTCAGGAAAAAGGAAATACAATATTTTCAATCTAAAATATGTGAAAGAGAAACACAAAAAGAAGGGTTTTCTTCCAGGAATCCTAGCTGACCTTTTATTATTTTCAAAAAAATAAACCAAATATCAATATTTCTCTTTCAGCTTTCCAACAGCATTAGGATAGATACCACAATTTAAAAATAGCCCATATTTCCTCTCTTTAAGCAATACTTGTTTCCAATATAAGTGCAGATGCTTCTGTTTACAAACTGACGTTTTGAAGCTACTCTTGTGGTACTCACACTTACTTCTGTGGTTCAAACGCTTCTGACTTTAATGGAGCTGAGAGATAGATATTTGACTCTAGACCAGCATCCACTCAGAACCATCCAGCATCTGATTTGAGTTAGTGACGCAGAACATGGGGTGAGGCTTACTGCTCTTACAGCCAGACTGTCTCCTGCCTGTACTGTCCGAAAGTTGTCATGGATCTTGTCCACCTGTTTCATGTCTTCTGCCTCCCAGCCAGACAACTATGTGCATTTTGTGTGTTTGTTGTCCTCAGGTTCTGCCTCAAGAACTGTCCACCCAATGATTTGGAATGTGCCTTGAGCCCATATGCCTTGGAATACAAACTCATCTCCCTCCCATTTGGAATAGCCGCCAATCAAGATCTAATCCGGCTGGTGGCATACACGCAGGACGGAGTGATGCATCCCAGGACAAGTTTTCTCATGGTAGATGAGGAACACACTGTTCCTTTTGCCTTAAGGGATGAAAACCTGAAAGGAGTGGTGTACACAACGCGACCGCTCCGAGAACCAGAGACCTACCGCATGAGGGTCCGAGCCTTATCCTACAGTGCCAATGGGACCATTGAATATCAGACCACATTTATAGTGTATATAGCTGTGTCTGCCTATCCATACTAAGAAGCTCTCCAAAGCCTAAGCCACAGATTTAAACTGCATAAACACAGGAATCAAGTCCCCTTCCAGATTACTGTCTCCTGAACAGTTGCAATCTTGGCAACTTGAAAATGGTGCTATGCTCTGTTGTGTGTGCTTTCCTTTGTACCATTGAGGTATTTTTACAATCCCACCATGGTTCCATCTTTTGGTAAGGTCTAGAACAGTCCCTTATTATTTTATTTATTACACTGGAGCAGTTCCTTTCCAAAGGTTAGTCTGAATATCGAACAGGACCCATCAGTGAGGTTTTATGGCAGCAGAGTAGCTAAGATCATTTTCCTGAAAAAAGAAAACCAAAAATAACTATAATAATAATTTGAAGCCAAGTAGATTTTTGAGCACTTGGTGATGTTTAAAATAATAAAACTGGTTGCTATGTGTTTTGATCAAGGCTTATTAAATAACTTATGAAGATGCTTTTTTTTTAAGTATTGATACTTCACAATAGGACTTACACACCTATTTTTCACTTTAAAAAGAAATGCCACTCATTTTAGAAATATAGTACAATTTCTAGGAGGTTAGTTTGATCCCAAATGGTGCTTACCTTGATTGAACATCCAAAGTAAGGATATTATTTTAGTGGTTTTGTAAAATCAGTTGAACCACTTATGATAATAGAAAAAAATATTACTTGGTCCTCAAATCATTGTTGAGGGCATGGGTCTTCACTCTAACATCTTGATATAACCTTCCATTCAGTTAGCGCCTTAGCTTTTACATTCCAGAATTCTTTTTACTGTCCTATCAATTGGAAACAATTTTTAAAATGTCAATGGGACAATTTTCTTTGTTTTTCTTTAAAAATCTCATATGTTCAAATTAGCATAAATGTTAAACGTCAATACACTGTACATGGTGGTAACAGACTCTGGAAGCAATTGCCAAGATGTATTCTATTTTTATGAAGTGTATATATATATTACCTTAGTGTGTATTTTCTATGTAATATCTTGATGGACTCTTTTATAAAGTTATTTTATAAGAAAAACAATGTTACAGGAAAACCAGCCTAAATAAAATTTTCACATCTGTTTTCTTAACTTTTTTGAAAACCTAATATGTGTTTCCTTACAGCTACAACAGGTACTAAAGTTTATCGTCACACCCATGCAAATGTGCATATGTCACACATATCATGATTTAATCATCACAACAGCTCTTGAGATAGATGGTACTGTATTGTAATTCACATTTTACAGGTCAGGATCCTGAGACTCAGATCACTTATACAACTTCCTTATGTCAACACAGCTAATCAGTGGCAGAAATGTCATGCCTTCTACCTCTTATGATCCCTAGTCGAATGACATCTCCATTGCATGACAGTTTTCTCACCTACCTAAACTGTTTCTTTATGTTTCATATCCTACCTGTGATAGGTAATACACTCATGAAGGCCTATTCATGGCCTGTGAGTGAACCATTTTTCCCTAGAGCCACATTATTCAAAGAAACCTGGAAAAATCATTTAGCCGACAGCCTGGCAGGCATGCAGATGATTGTCTAAATCCGTGTTTGCCAAAGAGTATCCTGTAGAACGTGGGTTCTACAGTCAAACAAGTTTGGGAAACACTGTATAATATGTTCTCCTATTAAATATTTACCATGAATATTGACACTTAAAGGATTGTAGAAGTACATAGTAAAGACATTTAATTTGTTCAAGTAAACATTTTCCAACATATTTCATCACAAGCCTTTTTTCTCCACTATATTGTAATATCTCACTGAACACTTGGAGAAATGCTGGTTAAATATAGTCAAGACGTCTGCGTGACTCCTCAGTCCTTGGAAAGGACATGCTGTAGCCTCCTCTGGTAAACAGTTCCAGCACATTACCCTGCTATTGAGCTTTCTAAATTAAGCCACATTGCAGTCCCTCTTTGTCTCTGTCCAGTGTTCTGCAAGTACAGTGACCAACCATGAGCTCCTGCTCAGTCGTTCGTAGGAATGGACTTCTGGTTAGCACACTATTTGGTTTGGAAATTCCTGTGTGAAGCCAGAAGATCCAGCCAGAATGTTGGCTTCCCCAAGCACTTTTGACAAAATGTCCTTGAAATGCCTCATCATAACCTAGGTGTTGAGCTGAGAAGACAATGATATTAGCAAGCCCGAATGTTCCCTTAGGATGACAGAACAGGGTGGAAGCCCTTCACATCATAGAGCACAGCTGTGAGGAGCAAGCCCCCATCTCGTGTGTTGCCATTACAGGCCTCTGATCCTGCAAATTCCACAAAGACCCCAGATGGGATGGCTAGCAGAAACAGGGAAGGTTTCCAAAGGGAGGAAGAAACCAAGGGGGAAATGAGAAATCTAATAGGTAATATAGGCTCAAAGATATACAGTCCCTTACATGTCATATGAAGTCATCCAACAATATAATTCATTAATCTGATCTTATCATGAGAAGAAGTATGATCTACACTGGTGGTCAGAAAACATTTCCTGTGAAAGGAAAGAGGAAATAGTTTAGGCTTTATAGGCCATATGGTTTCTCTTGCCACTCCTTAGCTCTGCTGTTGTAACATAAAAGCAGCCATAGACAATATGTATACATGCGTTTCCTGTGTTTTTGTTGCTTTGGGTGGGTCAGGGATAAGGAGGTAGCATTGGTGTTGACGGGGGACAGGGAGGATGGATTCTAGTAAGAAAGAAGGCATGTGAAAGAGAAAAAACACTGTCTCCACCAGCTGCCTTTAAAAAAGAAAAAAACCTTCCCATGGTTTTACATTGATTCAACCAACATGGACGCTCCCTACTCAATATTTGCAAGGACAATTGGTAAAGAAGCCCTTATTCTTGCATCTTCCTCTCCCGTTGAGGCCTATTTTTCTCTTTAAAACTTATGAATATGTCCATTTTGACTTGATTTCAGAGTAATAATGTATAATGTACCCATAAATGGATGTGGGGGGAGGGTGTGTGTGACTCAAGCCCACGGAGAACCCCTGTGTTCTAGCCTCCTGAGAAGGTTCCTAATGATAATAATGCCCTTGAATCCAATGGGACAATCGCTTGCTTTCTCTCCAGACATTCTGCAGGGAACAATGGGACAAAGAAAAGGTCTTTAGCTGCCACATGATTTTCTGGTGCTAGGAGGCTGCCGTTTTGCACTGAGCCCCTTTGTTCTCATTCTACTGGTTTTCACGCTCGCCGGATGCCTAATTTTCAAGCTTGTAATCCACACAAGCCAATGTCCTGATGTTTCCAGTTTCCTCCGCCTCCGAGTCAGACAGCAGGATAGAGACCACTCGTCGTGCTCTGGCCTGGGCTCCCGAATAAAGCGGTTCCATGTGTGCCTGACATGTCCCGTTGGCCATGGCTTGTTCCAGCTCTGTAGGGACACTGAAAGAATGTATCAACAAACTTGCCCAGGTATCTGAAACACATTTTCAAAATGTCTAGTGACCCTTGATGACCAGTCTGCTGATTAACTGCGGTGTTCCAGGGATCCTTGGAGGGGACAAGCTGAGACCAAGTGTTTGGTGTGTAATCACCTCTCCACTGAGTCAGAGAGCTTTCTGCCAAGCCAGAGGAGCAGTAGGACATGTAACTGGTCACCATGATTTTAGTTTCCCAGTCACCGTCCCCGGCCAAGATTTTGCTTCAAATTGTGTATTCTCAGAGGGACAGCCTGTGAGTTTGGAAGCTCTTCACAGTGATTTGGGGATAAGCTCCTCCCTCCCATTTCTACCACCTCAACCCTCAAGCTGGCCATCTTAGCTGCATTAGCTTACGTCCATCTTTGTTGGTTCTCCCGCCATTCACGTCAGCCTGCACTCACTCAGTAGCAGAATCATCTGGTAGGATTGGTGTCTTTCTCAGAAACTGCAGTCATACTTGCTACTGATGTAGAGATGCTATAAGCCAGCGACCAAGATCCACCCAGTCACGATCAGCTTACATAGAGAGATATAAAAAGTTAAAACAACATAGGCTCCTCTTGAACTCAGACGCCTTCTGCTTACACCATGAGTAGGACTATGGACCTCACCAAAATCAGACTAAGAGATATTTGTGACTTCTTTTTCCTGGGCTTTTCTAGGGAAGTCAAGCCTCCCATAGTTGCATGGGAAATGGACTATAGAATTCAAGAGAGATTGTAAATTGCAATGGAGGAAACTCAAAGAAAGAGAAAGAAATTACCAGATAGAAGCCCAAGCTTTTAACCCTCTGCTCACCCCATTAAATGTGCCACTACTAAACACCAACACAGAGGCCCAGACTCATCCCTGACAATGTGGCTGCTATTTGTTATCGAACAAAAGAATTGTCTTTACAATGAAGAACTTCCCAAACGCCGAATGAGAAGCTGTACATTAAACAACTTTAATAAATATTCTGTAAAAATTAAATGTCAAAAATTTAGATGGATACTTACATCTCTTAACTTACGTATCTTGGTCAGCTTCTCCGCAAGCTTACCTACTTACTTGTTCATGTACATTATACTCATTAAAGTATACATTTTTAAATGTAAAAAAATTAACATCCTGACTTCTTTACATGATCATTCTGTACACACACGTCCCTGATGTCTCTTTTTGTGTCCAAAATTCCTCTTCTTAGAAGAACACCAGTCAGATGGGATTGAAGCCTGCCCTAAGGGCCTCATTTTAACTTAATTACCATTTTACAGGTCCTACCTCCAAATAGTCACATTGTGAGGTATTGGACTTTAGGGCTTCAATAAATGAATTATGGGGGGACACTGTTCAGTCCATAAAAATTGTGTATGGCAGTTATCTGTTTACATGCTTCTTCTAAGTTCATACCAATGCATTTAGTAATAATGTATCTTAACCCAGTGCCTGGCATATAATAAGACTACATGAATGTTTGATAAGAGTATGAGTGGTTTACAAATGCCTAACAAAGTTGTGGTCAATAAGGAGTGTTTTATTGATTTGCCTGGCTTTAGGTGGAAGGAAAAAAAAATCTTTCTATATTGAGTATTAACCTAACGACACTTGCAAGTTGCTCAGAAGCTCTTTATGATTCTAGCATTGTCTCCAAAATCAAAGATCCTTGAAGTTATGGTTAATGGGATTAAAACTGCCAATTTTTCTTCTGTGCTATATTCATTTAATGCTTCATGTTCATTTACGTGTGGATTACAGCATAAGAACTGTTCAAAAGTTAGCAATTAAGTGGAACACAGGCGGGAGCTTGGGAGTACAGAATAAGACCCAATGAAAAATGTAGTGAGAGGCGAGGAAGAGTAGTTACTACTCTTCAGCTGTTTTGATGTCAATGAGTCAGCTGTTTTGATGTCAATGAGACAAAATGAGATTAAAGAAGTTGGGGCAATACATAGAAACATCTGGAAAAATTCAGTCAATTTCCCAGATGTTTGATCTACACAAAACTTCACTCCCCAGTATCTGAAAGCCTTCAGAAGAGGGTCTGAGGGCTCCATCTTTCTCCTGGGCTTCTCTTGTGTGTTTAGGTGCAGTCAAGAGCTTCTCATACTCCTGACTCCTGGTAAGTTCAGGGCCTATGAGACAGTAATTTACCAGTGCCAAATGATCGCAGCAACAAACGGCAAGACTGTGTGTGTCTCCTACGTTTCCAGGATATGGACAATAGTACTAGAAACTAATTTAAAAAGGTGTGATGACATACTTGTGCCTATTAGTGTGTTACATACAGCTGAATATTTGTCACCAAGTTTGAGGCAGAGTTGGAAACAGATCTGTGACAGAGGTAGAATTTCATCATAGAGAACTCTGAGAGGCACCTTACCCTTTTGGTGTAGAGAAACTTGGGGTGCGGGGGGGCGGGGCGGGAAGTGTCACTTGCCAAAAAAATGAACAGCTTTCGGGACTTACTGTAATGAATTAGCAGATGAAAAGAAGTTTCACTTGAGACCTCCATAATTTTACTAACCAATGTCACCCCAATAAATTTAATAAAGATAAAAAGAAAGTTCTGTCTACCAGTAGAGAAAGAACAGGGTGTTTTATACACATGACTTTCATCTTGTTCTCCTTTGAAAACTAAACTTATGTGGTACTT